TTTTTTTTTTTTTTTTTTGTCCTTTTTGAGACCTGCTGCACCGCGCTCAGCCAGTGAGCGCTGTGAGCGCACTGGTCATCCTTATATAGGATCCAAACCTGTGGCAGGGAGCGCTGCTGCGCTCCCAGCGCCGCACTCTCCGGAGTGCGCCACGGGCTCGGCCCGGGACATATAATTATTAAGAGTCGTTCTAACTCTGTAATTCTGTTGTTTTGAGGAAAACAGATCGAGTTAACAGGTACCCTGATCATCCCAAGAATTTTCATTGCATTTGCTTGTTTGCTTCTACTGTTTGTTCTTTAAAAATGGAGTGCATACTAGAAGCAGATGATTGAGTTACCTGTGAGGATATTTCGGTAGCAAGTTCAGAATATGAAAATACACTTTAATTTTGGATAACTAAATTATCAGGAAACTAGAGTTTGCACAGTTGTCCAGAGTTATTTTTGGTGACCCAGAAGTTTAAACTGGCACTATACCTTGGCAATTAACTATTTTGTTGATTTGTGGTTCTGAGGAAACTGGAAAAGTTATTTCTTCCTCCCTACAATAATTTATTGCTAATGGGTGGCAGTGTATAAGCATATTCCAGCAAACATCAGAAAGATAGAGTGGGGAACAAAAGCCGTTTTCTCTGGTTTTTAAATATATGTTCTTTGTTTTAAATAATGTTAGGTTTTGGAAACTAAATATAAAAAATTGCCCCCCCATAAGTATTATAAGAAATAATGTAATAGAATAAACCCCGCAATACAAATAAAAAGAGGTAAGTGTCTCTTCCCTTGCTCTTTATATGCTCTCTATTTCTACCCAGCTTACTTTAATTTTGGATAACTAAATTATCAGGAAACTAGAGTTTGCACAGTTGTCCAGAGTTATTTTTGGTGACCCAGAAGTTTAAACTGGCACTATACCTTGGCAATTAACTATTTTGTTGATTTGTGGTTCTGAGGAAACTGGAAAAGTTATTTCTTCCTCCCTACAATAATTTATTGCTAATCGGTGGCAGTGTATAAGCATATTCCAGCAAACATCAGAAAGATAGAGTGGGGAACAAAAGCCATTTTCTCTGGTTTTTAAATATATGTTCTTTGTTTTAAATAATGTTAGGTTTTGGAAACTAAATATAAAAAATTGCCCCCCCATAAGTATTATAAGAAATAATGTAATAGAATAAACCCCGCAATACAAATAAAAAGAGGTAAGTGTCTCTTCCCTTGCTCTTTATATGCTCTCTATTTCTACCCAGCTTTATCCAGTTCAGACTGGATTGCTCCGTTGGACTTATAAATCACCCTAATTCTTAATTGTTTTTCTTCACACAAAGTATAACAACTCCTTTATTTTAGTTATTATTTTTTACTTATGTCTAGCAGTGAAGCTCCTCTGCATCAATCTAAGGATCTTCCTTCTGTACCTAAACTACCCCTTATAGACTGTTCCATGAAGTCGTTACCCTTTTCTTCTGCTGAAAGCCAGATTTTCTCTCCTTTAGCATGTACTAAACAGAAGTAACATTCCTATCTGTTATTCATACGTGTGTAGCATCCAGCAGTTAATGAAGAAAATTAGCTTGCTTCTTAACACATGCCCAGTTCCTCTGTTGGTGAAGCTTGCAGAACTCACCACAAAGGTCCCACTGTTCAGTTATGCTTTCAGTGAGAACTAGATGTCTTCTTTCTCCCTCATCTTACTACTTATCTTGTTACAAGCTATTCTCAGAAGGATTTAATATTTACCAAAGTACACTTAATATTTTACCCATGATACTGACTTTTAAATGAACAAACTTATCTTGTGCTTTGTAATTATGTTGGTTTCCCAAACTCTTCTGCCAGTTTCGAGGCATTGCAAAATCTGTAGCATTTTGTGGACTTTCTTATTTTTGAAACTGGGTGTTCTTAGAGAAACACTGATCCTTGACATCTGAACTGAACACCACAGTTTCGAATTATTTTGGTAGCTAAGAGAGAAAAATCACCTGCTTAAGTATCTCATATTGTAAGGAGGCAAATAATAGGTATTTTATAGAAATTTTATTGCATCTACCTTAAGTTAGACTATATAGCTATTTGATGTTGTAGGTGATGCTATGAATTTTTGATTTGCATGGCTTCAGATGTCATAATTTTTCCCCCCACTTTCTAGGAAGTAACAGCTAGCAGTCGCCACTATGTTGACAGGCTATTTGACCCTGATCCCCAGAAAGTTCTACAAGGTGTCATGTAAGTAGTATGTATTTAAGAGTCTATCAAAAAGTCTTGTTTGTTTTCATGTTTTAATCTGCCAAATATTATAATGCTGAAAATGCAGGGCTATAACATTTTTCTTCTATTTGGCTTCTTTTAAGAAAGACTACTTGACATTCATGACTTTTAATATTTTACTCTAAAGAATTGTCTGTTGGATAGTTTTTAACTGACATGGTTAGCTTCATTTTTTGCAGAATACTTGTTTTGCATTAAAGAAAGTGTTTGTTTTGGAGAATGCTTTTGCCACTTTAATATCCACAAAAGCAAGAGAATAAAACTGACGATCTTTTAGAATTGAAAAGCAGTGGGAGAATAAGTCAGTAGGGTTTGTTTGTTTTATTTTATTTTTGGTCAACTCATCAATTGTCCCTTAGGTTTGAGTCACCTAGTGATATTTTAAATATTGTCAAAAGCAGTCATTAGAAAATTTAAATAAATTCTTCATAACCTAAATGCCCTTCTTTTCTCCAAAAGTCCCTCATTTTTAATGAGAAGAAGCACTTTTAAGCAACATGCTAGAGGTGATTATGCTTTTAAAAAATTAGGTGGGGCAAATGGCATAAGATTTCAAATGACTGAAAGATGAATTCCCTCTCCTTTTGAGTTTCAGATTATCATGCTCTTAACACATTAGTTCTAAGGAAGAAGGTCTAGCCCCAGGTTCTCACAAGGTTGAAAAAAAGAGTACCTACAGGGCTGAATGTGTCCAAGGGAAGAGGGACACAAAAAAGGGTCAAGATGAGAACATTTGGGGTAGCAGTGAAGGCACAAATGAGTGAGTCCCTTTCTTCTCTTACCATGCTAGTGTTACTAGCCAAATGGCACCTAAGTTTAACTCTTACTCAACCATGGCAAGACTGGGATGCTTTGTTTGTACAAGTTTCTTCTGACTGCTGTTTTTATTCAAAGCCCCCTCAACCCCCAAAGCCATTGTAGAAGGCCCTTCTCCCCCAAAAGGCATTGTAGAAGGCATGTCTTGGATGTTAATTAGCAAAGGGAAGCAAGATACAATTGTGTGTAAGGCTGCTTGGCTATTCAAATTGAGCTGGAAGGGAAGGTAAGGAGCTGGTTGGGACCCAGCTGAGACACTCCACACTTTATCTTAACATCTTCTCAGTTTACAGAAACAACAAGAGATGATACTTTTTGTTTTCTCATTATGTTGACTTTGCCTTTGTCTCCCTAACTAGGAGACTTTATAATGATTTTATTAGCTCCTTTGTAGACTATTTGATTATTATCAGGAAAACTGATAATAAATCCATTTGTTAAATAAATCAGTTTTGGTTGTACCTACACACACAGATTAGTTGAGGGGGTAGGTTTAATTCAACACTCCTCCTTAGATAAGCAGTCACTCCCCAAATATAGCCATATAGCTCTCTATGTAGATAATCCTAAATATCACTTAAGATTCCTCAGTAAATACTTTAGTTGAAAATGTCAGACCCATTAAGTATTCTGTAAATGATATTAGAAGATTATGTTGTTGTTTTCATTATTACTGCTATGATAGTTGTTTAGGAGAAAATTGAATTTATTAATCAAGGATTCTGCATGATAGGCTTGTATCTTGAGTTTTGTCTGATGTGAGTACCTAATTTGAATGTTACTGGTCACCCTGAGAAATTTTTCATTTCCTGAAGAACACTAGCTTCACAGAAGTTGATAAAATATTAAATAAGGGATAAAAGAACACTGGGAAAGATTAAATCATAGCAAAGCAGCTAAAGTATAGTTTGATAGCCTTAGTGCCTCTTGAGAAATTATCAAGTCTTGGATATTATTAGCTATCAGCTAGACAAAGGTTATTTATGTGAAGGGATGGTAGAAAGATCATGGGCTTTGGAGTTAGATAACAGTGGGCTTAATTCCTGGTTCTGACATTTCCTAGTGGGGTCTGTTCCTAGCTTTGTACTTAGGCAAGTTAATTTCCTTGATCCTCAGTTTCATCATCTGTAAAGAGAATAATACTGCCCATTTTGCCAGGTTGTTGTGAGAATTAAGTCAGAAACACAAAATTCTGGGCCTGGTATGTTATGAATACCAACCAGTTGGCACTTAAGTGGTTTGTTGTTATTAGCCCCAATTTAAGACAACTTCAAAAATAAGGTGATTCTCTTTAAAGAAAAGAAAGGAAAATTCATAAGAAAAACTTAAACAGATAAACAATTCAAACTGAAGGAAAAGGACTAGAATTCTTGACTCAGACAAGAAATGTGAGTGATAAATGGGATTGCTACTTACAATGCTAAAATCTGTTTATAGTTTGAAAGGAACAGATCACCCAACATTTTTTACTGTGTTTGAGAATAAAGCTGGCCTTATAGAGGTATGCGTGGTATGACTTGATAAAACTTCCTTTTCTCCAGATAGGAATATTTATTCTTTCTAACTTAATTCTTTTCTGAATTTTGTCACTTTCTGAAAATTAATTGTACATGATTAAATGAATGAAAAGTGAATTATATTTTTAACATTTTACTTATTTTTAAGTAATCTTGTTTAATATAATATTGATAGAGGAAAAAGGGAACAAAAATGATATTTAGGAAAAGAGCCAACCAATTCTTTCCTTTTTATACACATTACAGAGTCACTATTCAGTTCACACAGAGATCATTACTAGACCAAAATAGATAGGTAGAAGGGAGGTGGCCACAGATTGTAAACAACCAAAGGTGTATCCTATTAATTTTAGGGAAGGAAAGCACAGAGGCTGAAATAATCAGCTTTAAATTCAGAATATTTATTTGGAGGGACATAAAAGAATTGAAAAGAATTGTAGCTTTGGCTACAAGCCAACCAGAGTTTTATCATTTATCTAGCTACATTAAATTTGATTTTTCTCAATAAGGATTGTGAACACATATAACATACTAACAGGAAGAACAAAATAGAAGAAATTAAAGGCGAATAATGAGTTTTCATTATAGTCTATAATTATTCAGCTGAGTTAGAGCAATAGCCCTACCCATAAATATAGGGAAAATTTTGTAGATAACCCACATCACAAAGAACCATTTTACCTAGTCAGTGAGAATGTCCTTGTTGAAAAATAATATCAGGCATCAGGACTGCTTAATTTTTAGTTGAGGAGTGGGGTGTTATTTAGAAATAACTTTTTTGTTAGTAGTACAATATTTAGCATAAACTTGAACAATCCTGTTGTATCAGAGGTTTGAATGCAGAATCAGATCCTTTTCTCTGAAAGAGCAAAATTTCATGTGCATAACTGAATAGAAGATTAGTAGGCATGGAGTAAGATATGAGCAGAGAGAAGAGGGAAGTCATAAACTGTAGCCTTCGCAACTACAGTAGGGAGTAGGTATATCAGCTAAACTACCCTGCATTGCAAATTCTGAGCTTCCTCTAATTGGAGATCTGTGGGTGGCTTTAAAAAACAATTGCAGGGTGTTTTTTGGTGAAGTTATTACGGTAGTGGTTTAACCATGTTAATCTCATAGCTGAAAAAGAACTGTTCAAATGTTTTTGTAGATCATGAAACAAAGCTTCTTAAATAGTGCTTTTTATTTGTTTTTTTGTGGGGTTTTTTTTAACATCTAAATTAGAATACTTGATCTGGTTTTTACATTACTGATTCTCAAAGACAGATCAGCAGATATCCCTGTGTTGAAAGGTGAAAGGTGATATAAGCAAGTATGGCTGGCTTTGTAGTTTCAAAGTTAAGGAGAATCAGAAGCCTAGACTGACCTCTGTGGTGAATTCAGTCAGACAGTTGTGGATGCTGCAAAGTTGTGTGGCTTTTCACCAAGAATCCATTTCTAAAGTATCTTCTGAAGTATTTCAGTGTAGTAATGAAGTAATTTTATTTTGGTAATGATTATTCTGTATTCTGGTTCCAGGAAATTATTTATCTCTGGTTTCAGTACAGGTTGAGAGGTTCCATTTTCTTCCGTGAACTAAAGATACGGGTTTCCATAAAATGAAGCTTTTGGTTTTTGAGAACCTTTAAGTTAAAGGGTTCAGTTTTAGGATAATTCAAAATAAATATCCTAAAAAAGAAATTTAAAAAAAAATTTTTTTTCCTCCTAATACATTTAATCAGTTATTTTTAAAAGTGTTATGGGTAAACATATACAAAGATGCCCTTAATACCAAATGTAATGGTGTGATCCTATTGTTTAAAACTATGTATTCTGAGACAGAATTCAGTCAGAATTATGGTTAAAAGAGTAGCAGGATTATCCAGAAATTATTAGACCAAATTGACATACTCATTACTTACAGGCAGATAAACTGTATATGTTTATTTTATGTGATTATAACTTTGGACATCAAGAATAGCTTATGTGTGTATATCTTTTCATATGTATAAACCACCTAATGATATGCTGCCATAATGTTCCATAATCTAACATTTTTTGATGTTCTTTGGAATGACTAAATATAAAAAATATTAATATGGCACAAAAATATTTTGGCATTTATTATTAATGCAATCATTAAATTGTACTCTTTATCATTTTTGGAGACTGTAAAGTGATTTGTAATCATATATTGATAAAACAAAGAGCTAAATACAATAAATATCCTAATTTCTGAGCCAGTATTTAATTTTCAAAATTATGCGTTCACTTGTCATTAAAGAGCCATAAGATGCTAAGGAAAAAAGATGAAATATTTACAGTAAATTTTTCATGATTTTATACAAATCACAATTGTATTTGAAACTACATATATTCCAGAAATCTACATCACAGAGTAATTTGTTTATAAGAATGAACTAAATTACTGCCAATTCTCACTTCCTTTCAATTTATGCATATAGCTGATATACAGTAACTGCCTAAGTTGACTGAGCTGAAGTTTGCTATAAATTTCTCAAGTATCTCCTGAATCAAAGCATTAGGTTAAAAATAACTTTAGTCTATCATTATCTAATTTCTTGTGAATTGGCAATTCCCATATGGCAATGGTAACTTCAGTTGGAATGTGGATATATCTCACTCTCTAACCATGCTTGGTAACAGAAAGCTTATTGTACTTGTATGTTTGGATATTATATTCTCCAAAAAGAGCATCATAATAATTATAGGACAGACCAGTGAGTATGTTTGTAATTTTTGAAGTCCAAATAATTTTGTGAGTTGTTTACCATGTTGCTATGATAATGATAAGCACAGGGAATCTTAGGGCCACAAAGGTGGAGGAGCATCAACCACTGAGTTGTCCCTCTTGACTCTAGTATTATCAGCATTCCAATCCATTCCACATTCAGCTTATCTTTGTTACTCACTGCTTCCTTCATTTCTTTTCTGTGATCAAAACATGATTGCTGCTTAATTCATCCCCCTTTAGTTTGTCTCTTCTCCCTGTCACTCTTCCAACTTTATGTTCCAGGCCACCTTACAGTGATCCTCTTTCAATGCAGTTTCCTTATACTGCCTCAGAAACATGCCATGTTCATTTCCAATAGTACCTCCTATGAGTGGCTTTTCCTTTTGCCCTTCCCATCCACTTATCCAAATCCTGATCATTTTCTAAGGTTCATCTTAGTTCCTACCATTGCCTCAAAACCTGTTAGGCTTATTTAGCATCTACTTTTCTTAGCCTTATAAACACTCAGTTTATAATATAGCATGCCATACATTGTTAGTGTTATTTTTGTCTCTCCAGAGAAATTGTGAACTCTTCACATCAGGCATCTCATTATGTGATGCTCTTGTATCCTTCAGAGTCTAGCACAGTACTGAGCTCAAAAACTAATTGCTGGATTTCAGCAGAATATAAATAGGGCATTTCCCCCCAACCTTAAAGGTTGGTAGGCATGAGATTACATTCCTTTGATCTACTGGGAAAAGGATGTCTGACTAAAAGTTAGAAAAACCTTTATTTTGATAAAAATGTAAAATTGAAACACAAGAGGAAAAAGGAAATTATTTTACCGAATTTGTTTGGGTTTTCCATTAGTTTGTTGTAAATGCCTGGTGTACTGCAGGTAACAGAAAATACTTGGAATAAAAGACATGGGTTGAGACTGGCTCTGTCATTTAATAAGGGGTTCTGAAAAAAGTCCCAGACCTGAATCATAGCTTCCTCATCTGTAAAATGGGGTTAATGTTACTCAAGGATGTGATGAAGATGAAATAAAGTAGCAAATATGGAAAGCTTTGTGAACATTAAGGTAATTATAAATCTTCATACTTTTGTTGTGCTTCCATCTTGGATAATGGTTGTGAGTTTGCATTTATAAAAATAAGGATTTCTACATGGTACGTTTTCTTGAATCACTATAGTTAATGATCCATTGATAGTAACTTCTGATATTTTCAGGTCAGTTTGACTTTCTTACCTCTCAAGAGGAGAGACACTTCTATCTTCATAAAGTCATGAGTGTATTATGGTAGAGGGCACTTAAGAGGGACACCTAACCCACACCTAGGGGTGTCAGGGCATGCTAAGGAAGTGACATTGGCATCCTGAAGGATGAGTAAAGTTAGCCAGGGAGGGGGTAAAGTGATGAGAGAGAGAAAATAAGTACATTCTGGGAACCGAAGGAAGCTTCATCTGGCAGGCTGACTGTTGAGTCCCTGCTGCCTCTGAAATTGATTTTTCAATCCAGCCTACACTGTACTTCAATCTGCTGAATATGGGAATATGTAATGATTATCATCTCTCTCAATTTTAACTCTTTCATAGAAATGATCTACTAGCATCGCTTTATAGTAACAATCAAATAGAATTTATTTGATGGGTGTTAACATCTTTTTTTTCCTTATCTAGCATAGACATTTACTTTATACCTTGAGCAAGATTTTTTTCTTTAGACATTGGTCCATTTTATTGTGTTCTCTTTAGTCTGCATTTACTCTATAGCCATCAGATGCCTCTTTCATGTCCTTTTTGTAAACTATTAAAAGAACTGGAAAATTGGTTTTGGAGGGGGTTTTGTTTGTTTTTGTTTATTAAAAAAAAAACATTTACTTTGGCATGGCTTCATATGTTTGGAATGGGTTCATAAGGTAATGTAGGAACATCTCATTTCTGCTTAGTTTAGGAAGAATGGAGAGAAAATTGGTAAAATATTATTGCTGGGAGTTCCAGAATAGAAAGAGCACCCGGAATGGTACCTGGCACAAAATAGACTAGATAGATAACTGCTAGACAAATGGATGTGCTGCACCCATACAGGCAGAACACGTTAAGAGAAGGGAAGATAATGAAAGTAAATGAAAAGCTGTTAGAGTAGGGCCTATAAGCTGATGTTTAGGAATGAAGTGTCTGAGAAAAAATCAGCAGGAGTCAGGAGCCTAGGTGTACTGTCTGTTACTAGCTATGCTTTGCTAACTGAGGCTTTGATATCATAGAGTTTTATAATCGTGTCAGAACTTCGTAAAAACCTCAGTAAACTTCACTCAATTTAGTCCCATAAACAATAAAATATTGCTACTTATCTGTTGTAAACCATTTAGAAGATCTGAGGGGTAGTTTACAGAGAGGGATAGATCAAGCCCTGAAAAAAAGACCTACTACCCTCAAGCACTGAGCTAAAGGAAGGAAAAACCAGGCAGTTTCAGTGTTTGGCTCAAGACTTGCAAAAATGCCATTCAGAAACTTTGTGGGGCAAATCTGCTGAAAGCACTAGTTGTAGCAGGGTTTTTCTGCAGTAATCAAAGAAGGTGATTGAGGAGAAGGGTTAATTATTACTATGTGTTTTAATGCCAGTGAATGTGGTTGGTGTTGGAAATACATGACTAAAACACTTATTTGTTAATTTTTTTTTTAAGTAACTCCCTCCCCCCCTTTCCATAATTGTGTTTTGCTGACTGTATAACTTTTTTAGGATTGTAACTTTCAAGGTTGACAAAAAAATTTATGTATATTATAGAGCTCTGCTACCTAAAAGAGGAAAAATCAAAAGAGATGCTGGATGAATATTTAGGGGAGCTTACTTTGGGATGTGAAAGAAGTGAGGAAGAATGCTCTTAACACTATGAGACCTAACTTTTCCTTATTATAAATATTTTGTAACACCTCTTGTACTATCCTGAAATTAAATTTCCAATGATATATATCCTAACCACATACACAATTCCAAAAATAATATAATGCCTTTCTTCTAATATAAAAGAGAAATAAAAAAGAAAGTAATTCATAATATTTCAGTATATAAATGCTTAGGCCTGACAATGCTAGAAAACTTAATGACGTAGTGCGAATGAATGAATGCTAGAGCTGCGCATGTAGACTGACACAGGTATTTGGTATTGATGGCTTAGATACTATGAGTGTCACTGTGCTGTGATCTGATTTTCAAAAATGAATAATTTGATTTTTTAAAAAACTCCCTTTTAGTTACAGGGCAGGTATGATATTGGAACATTCAGTTTTCTTTAAGCTAGAAATTTCCAGACACTGACAAACTTCTGAAATGTTTCGCGGGGGCTGCCCTTTTCCCCACTTTCAGAACCCCTGGTCTATAGAAGAACATAGTATTATAGTGTTAGATTAAGACAGCAGTACTGACCAATTGGAGCAAGTATTTTTAAAACATTTAGCAGTATTTAGGGTTTTGTTTGTTTGTTTTGAGCTATTTAGTTTTTCTTCACATGTCCTTTGGAACCAACCGTGAATTTGTGAGCCAATTGATTATTGATAGAGGTACTCTTCTTATGGAATAGAATTTTGCTCCTGGTAAAGTAAAGAGCTCTGTGTAGCTAGAATAAAAAATAAAATGTATGACAACAGCAGCATAAAGAATGGATGGAAAAGTGTAAACATGCACTTACCAGGGTCTTACAATATATGTGAAATAGTATAATATCAATTTAAGATTAACTGTGATAGATTAGAAGATCCATTGGAAATTCTAAAGCTACCTTTGAAACCAAAACAAAACACAAAGAGACACAGCTAATAAGAAAATAAAGCAGTAAAATGGAATCATAAGAAATACTCAGTCTAAAAGAAGTCAGAAGAGGAGGAAAAAAGTGAGCAAAGTGACTTCTGAAACAAGCTCAGACGTGTTCTGTGGGCCAGTTGTTTGTACTCCCTACTCCCAGAGCTGTGAGTGCGAAGGCGGCCTGTATTCCTTTATATGCAAAGAACTGGTACCCTTTTTAGAAGAACTCACATCTCTATGTGGAGTCTCTGTCAGTACTCAGGCTGTCGCCCGTTCCACACTGCTCCCCTGTTCTACGGCCCCCACGGTCTCTGTCCCTTCTGTTTAGCACTCAGGTGTAAAAGGGTCAATGCTTTGACTTTGTCGCTAACTTCTGTACTTGCCAATCCAAGATGTTGCGTAATAAAGTGGAATTAATTGATCTTTGGGTTTTTTCGGTGATGTCTCAATATACTTTTCCCCCCCCCCCCCCATATTCAGAGACATGAAAAATGCCGTAATTGGAAACAACAAGCAGAAAGCCAACCTCATTGTTTTGGGAGCTGTTCCAAGGTATGTTTGCTATCTCACTCCCTTTTCTGCCATTCATGCTTCTAAGTTTCTAATGTATTTCTCACTGGCAATTCTAAGACCCATTTTTTTTCTGTATTGTCTCTCCTATTTTTTAAGTAAATCCTATTTTTAAAAATAAATGTTTTGAAGTATTCTTGTATATGAACCATCTGTAAGAAAAAAAGAACTATAAAGTACCAGAGAATGAAATAAGAAGTGAATGTATTATCACTCCTTGGAAATTCCAGAAGATCATTGACTTTGCAATAAAAGCGTTGTTGGGTATGTAAGCAATGTACACCAACCTAGTACCTTCTTCCCCGTCTCATAGCCCTGGCAGTTATTGTGGGAGTGGAAAATAAAGATTCTCAAGACCTTTTTGAATTTAAAGAAAAAAACAAAACCTGCTTGGTTTTTAATCCTGGTGGGGGTTTTGTTGTTTTTTTTTCATTTCTGATTTTTCGAATTTGCTGTTTTTTAAGTTATTTAGGAAGTTTGATCTCTTCTGATGACTTAATAAGCTTCCTTTTGGCAGGCAATGACAATTATATAACTTCCTCTTTGCTTTTCCTACTGAGAACTAAGTTTTGTGTGTAGCTGCAATTTTTCATTAGAATAAATGTTTTGTTTTTTTCTCTTCTTTTTTTTATTTTTTATCCTTTGATACAGGATTAATGGTTTTAATGTTTTTAACATCACCAACCTCAAATATATACTCTAGTAACTGTAAAGCTCTCAGCAGCCTTCCTTAGAGACTTGCGTTAACAACACAAGTGGAGGTTCGTGTATAACAGCACAAGTGGAGGGTTCATGTGTGGGGAGTAGTTGTTTGACAAGCTGGGCTGGAGTGGAGGTGGGAGGATCTTCTCATTCCCCAGATGGGAGAATTGGAGAAAGAAGAAAGCTTTCTTTGCTTGAAGAACTGCTCAAGGACTCTGAATATTCCCTCTAGTGTAGACCTCTGTGATCTCTGCACTACTGCTCTGGATTCAGGATTCATTTCTAGTTGGATTTAAGATCCAACAGCACTTGGCATTAGGGGTCTTCATATTCTGAAGAGACCAACCTGGAAGTGGCAGATAACATGGACTTGGCAGATGACATGGACTGGTGCTGCTACTTCTACAGAGACCACTTGTGGACAACTTTCAGTTTTACAGTTCTAATAAACTCTGTTATTATATGACATTGTTTTGCTCAACATGAAGAAAATCTCTTCTAGATTTTTTTTCCAGATGTTTCTTTATTGAATTAGCAGATGATATAAACAAATGACCATTTCCCAGAGGGATTTAAATAAGCTCAGCCAACCATATTTTCAGTATTTGGAATATATTGGTAGCCTTTTTTGGTCAGATTACTTTAACTTACTTTTCTGTAAGCATTTTTAGTCTCTTTGTTTATCAAGTTCCTTATTTTTAGGTTGTTGTACTTGCTTCAGCAAGAAACCTCAACCACAGAGTTGAAAACTGAATGTGCAGTGGTGTTGGGAAGTCTTGCTATGGGTACTGAGAACAATGTCAAGTCTCTCCTGGACTGCCATATAATCCCTGCCTTACTGCAAGGTATGTAGGGAAGATTCTAAAGATTAGAATCAATTTGCAGTGTTTTAAATACTGGTTAAAAGGATGAGTCTCAAATCTAGTTTCTGTTAATAGGACTACTGTCCCCAGACCTGAAGTTCATTGAAGCTTGCCTCCGATGCTTGCGTACCATCTTCACCAGTCCTGTCACTCCAGAGGAGCTACTGTATACAGTGAGTTTTAGATGTTTTGAGTCATTAGTTATGTTTCATTAATAGCCTACTCCTAATTTGCTTAGCATCTCCAAACTCATCGTAACAGTTATATAGAAAAGTCTCAAGAAGTATTTGAGTTCTTGCTTATTTGCGAATATCAAATGTTCTAGACATTGTAAAGAAGGGAAAGATAGTCTCAGGTTGAATTTACAAACTATTTTAAAAAAATCCATTTTTATCCTTTTATATGTACAAATTAAGGGATATGTTTTGTGCTAAATGAGTGATAAGGAGTTCTAATTACTTTAGGTGAAAGTCCAGCAGTGTAGGCTTTGTAGAGAAGCTAGAATTTGACCTGGGGCTTGAATAATGGATAAAACTTAGAGAAGTGGAGAGGAAGGATGTGTGTAAGAGAGAATATGCAGTACAGTGGCTGAATATCTAATATAGGGAGGGCATCATTGTTAGTTTTCAGCCAGAGAGGTAGATCAGAACCAACTTGTAAGAGGCTTGCTTGCCAGGCTTGAATCAGAAGATATGTTTGGGCAAATCAAAAGATATTTGGAGTCTGTCAGTGGTTTTCAAAAGCCTCAAGAGTAATGAGAGGGTCTTTTTATCTGTTGAATATAAAAGATTTTCTTAATGAGAATTATTTAGGGTAATATATTTGAAACACAATACACATCGAGAAATATATATTTTCTATTGCCTTACTATACATACATGTGAATTTGTATGTATGTGAGACAAGGCTTAACAGCATAATTCCACAAATGTGATGCCCTCTGGTTTCTATTCTGTCATTTCTCATTTTTTAAAAAAAATTATTGCCTTACTATACATACATGTGAATTTGTATGTATGTGAGACAAGGCTTAACAGCACAATTCCACAAATGTGATGCCCTCTGGTTTCTATTCTGTCATTTCTCATTTTTTAAAAAAAATGCTGGTTGTGATTCTCCTGAGCTAACATAAAGAATCAGATTCTCAAATTGGATATACATGAATCAGTGATTTTATCTAGAATCAGGTTTTATAAATGCAGTTGTCTCTCAGTATCCACAGGGGATTGGTTCCAGGAGCCCCCTGCCCTCTGTTGATACCGAAATCCAAAGATGATCAAGTGCCTGATATAAAATGGGATAGTATTTGCATGTAACCTATGTACATCCTCCAGTATACTTTAAATCATCTCTAGATTACTTATAATACCTAATACAATGTAAATGCAAGTAGTTGTTATACTATATCATTTAAGGAATAATGACCAAAAAAAAGTCTGTACATGTTCGGTACAGATGCAACTATCTGTTCCACCTGTCTTCTTCTCCCCTCCCCCTAAATATTTTTAATCCACAGTTGAATGAATCTGCACATGCAGAACCCAGGGTTACAGAGGGCTGACTGTATTTTAAGAATATAAGCAACCAGGAGGCATAGGTAAAGCAAACGTGGAGAGGGAGGTGTCATGTAGCGCACTAGTCCATCCTTCCTTTATCAGACATATACTTTTCTGGTCCTTAATGATACATAAGGTCTACCAAGATCAAGGCAGATTTGGTTTTTTTTAAAAAAAAGATACGTAAGGTCTATAAGTGAGGTTTATAGGCCACCTCACATAGTAGGGCGTATCACTAGTCCATCCTTCCTTTATCAGACATATACTTTTCTGGTCCTTAATGATACATAAGGTCTACCAAGATCAAGGCAGATTTGGTTTTTTAAAAAAAAAAGATACGTAAGGTCTATAAGTGAGGTTTATAGGCCACCTCACATAGTAGGGCGTATCTAAATTATGAAACATTTCAATTCTATACCTCAGTTTTATGTGACATTCTTCATTGCTTCATCAATCCATTGATTATTTACTGTAGTGGTTCTTGAATTTGAGCATACACCAGTATTAGCTGGAGGGCTTGTTAAACACAGATTGCTGGACCCTACCTCAGCGTTCTGATTTAGTGAGTCTGGAGTGGGACCCCAGAAATTGTATTTCTATCAAGTTTCTAGGTAACTCAGATGCTGCTAGTCCATAGACCAGTCTTTAGGAACTACTGGGTTATTGTAAACATCCTGCTGAAAGCATTCCATAGAGAAGGATTTTTTAGTAAGTGTCAGTTTGTTTTCGTAGAGGTCATACTGTCGTGTTTACAAAGAGATGAAACCAATCACCTGTCTTCTTTACCCTGCAAGTTTCTCAACAACCCCCAGCCCAGTAATACGGGGAGAAATTGATCCTGGCCAGCTGTTTTAACTCCTTCCTCCTCTCTCTCTAAACTGATTCATGACCTACTGATGGGTCATGGTGCACAATTTAGAAAACTCTGGTCTAGGCCCACTTAACTTTTTTCACATAAGAAAAATTAAGACCCAGGGAGAATTTAGATAGTGAGAGCATCTTAATTATGGAACATCTTGATTTTATGCCTCAGAAACAGTGGAGAACCCATGAAGTGTTGTACAGTGGGATAACTGACAGAGAACAGTGTTTCTGTGTAATCAAGTGACTTCTGTGAGTTGAACTATGTAGAGGCCAGCTGTAACAGCAGCTCAAGCACTAACGTAGGGACAGGGCAGTCCAGTTGGTGAGAGAGTGCAGAGTCTCTAGTTTGAAGTCCTCTCTCTCAGATGGGAGACTTTGGGCACATTGTGTGCTTGTTCTTTGCCTTGTGTAATCATCTATGAACTGCAGATGTACAAGGGGTGTTCAGAAAGTTCATGGAAAGATTCATATAATAATTCCATTTTTCCATGAACTTTTTGAAGTATAAACACAACTGGCAGAATGGGGGCAAACATGAAGAAATGGGATAGGGGTTGTTGTAACTGAGGAAAACTGAGAGAAACTGAGGAATGAGAGAGCAATGGGGACAGAAATAGCTTCAGGAGCCTGATAAAGCCTTCCCCCATCTCTTGATCTGCCTGCTCTATCTTCACTGCTGTGTGCTTCCTTGAGTGGGACCACTGTTTCCCTCCCCCACTTGACATTCTCTTCTCTTTCTATGCATTTAGTACCTGGCTTTCTTTGAGGTTTTCTAATTTCTTTGAAGTTTTTCACTTTGTTTTTCAACTGCTTATGACAACACAGAGGGCTATTCTAAGAAACAGGGAAGAAATTCTACTTGGAATCCACAGCCTTCTATTTTCCCATTTAGCTTTTATATATCTGGGGCATTATTTTCTTTTTGAAGAAAACCCCCAAATCCTGTTCATCCCATCAACAGTGTTCTTTTAAGTTTCCTTCCTTGCCCTCTGTTGTCTTTTGTGAGTATTCTCAAAGCGTGGGCTGCGGTCAAGCAGGATTGGCCTCATTTGGGAACTAGTTAGAATGCAGACTCTTAGGTACTACCCCAAACCTACAGAATCAGAATCTGTACATTAAGAACATCACCTGGGAATTTGCATGTGCATTTTTACCTGAGAAGCATAGCTCGAGGACTTGGGGGGCAGCATTCACTAGGAGGCATGAGCTAAGTCTCCTTTTTCATCTGTAGTTCAGGCCAAATCTCCTTTCAACTTTTAATTCCTTTTGCATTCTAAATAAAAGGAAATTCGTGGAGAGCCCTGCATCGGGGTGGTTTGAGTCTTTTCTCTTTTCCTGTACCACTATGTAAGTTGTTAAGTGTCAGCAATACGCGGAGTGGGCTGTACATTAGAAGTTACTAATCATGTAAATTGCCTTATCTTTTGCAGAGTGAAAATAGCTATAACTACAGTTATTGTTAGAGATTGTTAGTACTTACTGATGCTTACCATAACATCTCAGAGATCAAAATTGTCAAGTTTTATTTTTATATGATAATTTTTCCTTATAAACTATTTATTATGGTATATCTTACTAGTTAACTTCACTTTTTAGTATCAGAACTAATTTCTTTCAAGTCTTATTGAAATGATTTTGCTTTATTGTGAGGATGTAGGCTAGTGATAGGAGAGTTATTGACAATTTCCTGTTCTTATATTTTGTTACCAAGGATGAACATTGTAGCCTCTTTCCTTGTCCTTTGCCCACACAGTTTTCCTGGCCCTATTTAGCTTTTGTTTGCTCTGTTTCTTAAGGAGACTTGATTTACTGTCATTAAGATAAGAGGCTTGACTATGTACCTGCTCATGGAAATATTTTGTCAAATGTACTCATGGTACTTAAGCTCCTTGTTACTGTGTTCTCTTTCCCTTCAACTCCAGGACGCCACAGTGATACCACATCTCATGGCACTGCTTAGCAGGTCCCGCTATACCCAGGAATACATCTGTCAGATCTTCTCACACTGCTGTAAAGTAAGAACCAGAGTAAATGTTCTCCATAATGTAAAATCTTATATGCCGTTAAGGAATGTGCTTTCTTTGTGTATCCTCCCAGAGACAACCTATACATATATAAATAGACCTATGGTTTTATATATATATAATTTTTTTTTTTTTTAATTCCAAAAGTTTGTTGGCCTGTGGCATATCATAAGGGACAAAATAATTGTTTACCATAAGCCTTTGGGCATACTTCTTTGGATACTACTTACCTTTCTTATCACCTTCAGGATTCTCTATACCAGAATAGGGTGACTGCGGCTTGGGGTGACCGTTGTGGGGGCTGAAGGCAGGTAATGAGACTTGAGGCCTGTGAAAGGTGGTAACCAAGGCACTAGGGCAGGGGGCCAGGAGGGCAGTGGCATTCTGCATATGATAGATAAGGGTTCTTACAGCTTTGACATTGTGTCCTTCTAATTATCTTAACGTACTTTGAAGGTTATTCCATGTCAGTACATAAGGAGCGTCCTCATTCTTTTTTTTAACAGCTGCATAGTGTTTTACTATATAGATGTACAATAATTTATTTAACCAATACTCTGTTGTTGGGTAATCTGTTTGTTTACAGTCTTATGCTATTATAAAACCATGCCACAACAAATACCTTGTATATGAGACATTTTATAAGAAACAGGACTGATGAGTCAAAAGATATGTGCATTTGTAGTTTTACCACATACTGTTGTGCATTTTCTATACCAGCAGTATGTGATCATGGCTGTTCCCTCACACCCTCAGTTTCCATGTTGTTTTAAGTGGTCTCATGTGAGGAAAAATAAGAGAGATTCTTCTCTGCTCATTGCTAAGTGAAATTTCTCTGTTATTAGAAGGTCCCAGACCTAAACTGAAGAGTGCTATGAAGTGCTACTTATTTTGCTTCATAGATTATATATTGAGTGTACTTTTTATTAATCATGGATGACTATGTATTTGAGGTCTTTCATAATTTTTATACATTTTCTAACTTCTAACCAAATAATTCGTTATCTTCCAATGATTCTGTAAGTGTTTCAGGACATTACTCAACTTCCTGTCATTTATAAAACAGATGCCAAGTGAGGAGCTTTGGAAACTACAGGAAAAAAGGGATAAGAGAAGTGAACACCTCCATTCCAAAGGAAGAAGAGTCTAGGTCTATGCTATTTTAGAACAGCTTCCCAAATAAATGAAAATTACTTGGTTTCAGAAAAATTATCT